ATTCCCAGCCCTGGCTGCACTTTAAAAATCACCTGTGGAAGTTTAAAAAGAAATACCCCAGGTACACCCCCAGATACTCAGATTCTTTGGCTGTATCAAGATAAAAAGTTTAGGGCCAGCCCACGGTGCTCACTTGGGAGAGTGCGGTGCTGATAACACCAAGGCCACGGGTTAGGATCCCTATGTAGGAATGGCGGGTTAGCTCACTTGGGAGAGTGCGGTGCTGATAACACCAAGGCCACAGGTTAGGATCCCTATGTAGGAATGGCGGGTTAGCTCACTTGGGAGAGCGTGGTGCTGACAACACCAAGTGAAGGGTTAAGATCCCGTTACCGGTCACCTTTTTAAAAAATATGTATATATAAAAAGTTTTCTTTCAGGTGATTATAATATGCAATCAAAGTTAAAGACCACTGCATATTGTCTGCACTTAGGCCCGAGACATGAAATGAAAGATTTGTGGAATTTAGATGTGTCACTTAATATTGTTTTGTGTGGTAGTAGAGTTTGGGCTGTTGGTTTTTTGGTTGAGAATTTTACCTGTAAAGTTCCTTTCCACTCTGTTCATTTAGACAGGTAGTTTGTGAAATCACTAAAATTTCATCAGTTCTGAAGTTTAGAATTTTTCATATTTTAATGTTTTGAAACCTGGATGAGTCTTAAAATTGGCAGTCACCAAGAAGAAAATTGTGACATGTTGGAAGGCATCCCTTTATAGAAGATAACTGTTTTCATTGCTAAAATGATAAATTGTTGAATTGGAGCTTTAAATGCAGCTTAAAGGGTCTCTTTAGATAAATAACATTATGAAGCATCATCAAAACAAGTTTATTGTATTCACAGAAAATTTATTGTGACTATTCATTTAAATAAATGCCAGGCAGCATGTTATGTGACTGTAGTACTTTGAAAGCTAGGAAAAGTCACAGAATGGGTCAGAATTTTCTAAGCTGAGAGAAATCAGTGTAATAAACTAAGATGTCATGAAGGACTAACATTCAAGTGCAAATATAGAAGCTTCCACCTGACTTTCAAAAGAAATTATTTAACTTCTTAACAATTCATAATTCATGTAGGAAAAAAATGAAACTGAGTAGAGCAAAATGGAATGCAGACAAAATCCTGGTACTGTTTTTTGTGTCTTAAAGTTCTAAAGAGATTAGGAAAATGAATGGGATGCTGTGTGTAACTGTCATTGGCTCAGAATGATTCAGAAGAATTTAGACTGTTAATGAAAAGGGGGCTTAGGGAATTTAGAGTTTTTTTCATTTTATGCCAAGGCAGAGGAAGTAAGTTTTCTCTGTTAGCTAATGGAATCCAGGTAGTAAAATCAAGTCAGCAATTTTAGAGCTTGTGCTTGAAAAGATGTTCTTTTTTATATACACATTTAGCAGTTTATTAGACATTAGAGATTAACTTGACAAATACGATAAAAAATTAGAAAGATGTTCTAATGGTAATATTGAGAAATTTTTATTCGGTTTAACGTGTGTGGGTTTTGCAAATTTATAAATTAGGTGATAATGTTTGTATGTTGTATGTATAGAATTCCCTTCATAATCTATTATACTGAAATAAATCCGTTAAAGGCTTACCTTAGAATCCTTTCCTGGGTGAGTTATGGTCACATATGCGAGCCTAATCTCACTAATGAAAAATGCTGGTATGAGGATGAGGACTTTTAGCTGACTCAGCTACACAAGCACTTCTCTAAAAAATATCAGTTGACTTGAAGGGGAGCCTCATGACTTGGGTGAGACATCCTGTTTAAGGAATTCATGTAAGTTCCAAGTTATCTTTAAGATTAGCTTAGATGCTCTCCCGCCTGTAGGCTTTTTGTTTGTTTCTGTTTATGTGCTATAATCTGTAACTGATAGTTGTAACTTACATATTTTACTCACCAGTGAAAATGGGACAACTGTGGTATGGGGAATCTCCTGCCCTTTTCCAAACTATTTCATAAAATTTTTCAACTTCTTGTAGACTTCAAAGCACTTCTCAACTTTGTTGGTTTGTTTCCTGGGCCGATCCTCACATTTGGCTCTCACTATACCATAAAATTATTTCTTCCTCAACAGCCTTAATTCCGGTCCACAAGGATAAGGACTTTGAGAAAGCTGAGACTCTAGAAAGCTAAAACACCAAGCAAAGGACCCTTTCTGGTCCCCAATGTGATACAAAAAGATTAACAATCACAGGACATAGAATATGCTATTATAATGCTCTTGGGATCTTGTTTTGAGATGATTGAGGGAACTTCAGTCAGAGGAAATTATTACTTGGTTTTGGCCTGATTTAATCACTGTAGACTGTTTCATTGATATTTTCGTTATCGCATAGGTGGGAGAGCTGATGTTTCCTTTAAATGATTGTTTGCAATGCTTCAGAATACTTAGAACTCTAAATCAAGTGGATATTGGGAAGATAAATGCAAAGGGTTGGAGTTTTAAACAGAAAATATATGAACTGGATCTGTTTATTTTTATTTTCAAAGAATTCATGTTTTTTTTCTTTAGTATAAACTTTTTCAATTATCTAACAGTGCAGAAATGTTTCTTTTTATTTTTTTGACAGTTTTTTATTGAAACGATTGTACATATTTGGGGGGTACAGAATTGAATATCAATACCTGTATACAATATGTGGTGGTCAGGATAATTAGTATACTCATGTTTACAAAACGTAATCAATTTTTGTGATTCTTAACCAATTTCTTGCTGACTCCCCTCCCTGATTCCTACCTCTAATAACCACAGTTCTTTTTTTTTTTTTTTTTGAATTCAATGTATTATTGTGATGGTTTTTCTTTTCTTTTTTTTATGTGTTTATTTATTAGCTCCTATTTATGAGTGAGGACATATGGTATTTCTCTTTCTGTGCCTGGTTTATTTCACTTAACATGATTTTCTCTAAGTTCTTCCATGTTGCAAAAAATAGTAGAATTTCATTCTTTTTGAAGGCCAAGTAGTATTATATACCACATTTTCTTTATCCAGTGATCTGTCAATGGGCATTTAGGTTGTTTCCCACTCTTGGCTACTGTAAATAGAGCTGCAATAAACACGGGAGTGCAGATATCCCTTTGACATGATGATTTCCACTCCTTTGGGTATATACTCAGCAATGGGATTGCTGGATTGTACAGTAGTTCTATCTGTAGTTATTTGAAGAACCTCCATACCATTTTCCATAGTGGCTGCAGTAATTGACAGTCCCACCAACAGTGTAGGAGGGTTCCCCTTTCTCCACATCCTCGCTGATGGAGTTTGGATGTGTTGTCCCCTCCAAAACTCATGTGGAAATTTGATCCCCAGTGTGGCAGTGTTGGAAACTGATTGAGTCATGGGGGCAGATCCCTCATGAATGGATTAATGCTCTCCCTGGGGGAGGAAGGGTAGTGAGTGAGTTCTCACTCTATTAGTTCCCACGAGAGCTTGTTTATAGGACCCTGGCGCCTCCTCTCTGTCTCTGTTGCTTCCTGTCGCCATGTGATCTGCTTGTACCCGCTGGCTGCCTGCCACTTTCTGCCATGAGTAGAAGCAGCCTGAGGCCCGTGCCAGATGCAGCTGTCCCAGAATCGTAAGCCAAATAAACCTCTTTTCCTTATAAATTACCCAGTCTCAGGTAATTCTGTTATAGCAACACAAAACGGACTAAAACACTCACCAAATTTGTTATTTTTCATAATAGCCAGTCTAACTGGGATGAGATAATATCTCAGTGTGGTTTTGATTTGCATTTCCCTGATGCTTAGTGATGTTGAGCATTTTTTCATGTGTCTGTTGGCTATTTGTACATCTTTCTTTGAGAAATGCCTATTCGGCAACTTTGCCCATTTTTAAATTGGGTTATTTGTTTTCTTACTGTTGAGCTCATTTTATATTTTGGATACTAATCCCTTGTCAGATCCATAGTTTGCAAATATTTTTTCCATTCTGTCGGTTGTCTTTTCTCTCTGTTAATTGTTTCTTTTGCAGTGCAGAAGCTTTTTAGTTTGATATAATCCCACTTGTTTTTCTTTTGTTGCCTGTGCTTTTGGGGTCTTATTCATAAAGTCTTTGCCCAGTCCTACATCCTGAAGTGTTTCTCCTATGTTTTCTTTTAGGAGTTTATAGTTTCAGCTCTTACATTTATGTCTTTAATCCATTGAGTTAATGGTGGTATATGGCAGACTTTAAAAGTAATATTTTGTCTTATTTTAAGGCTACTGATTTCTAATCAGTTACTGGCCAAGAAACCTGGTGCAAGGTTTTTAGAGACTGATAATAAGCATTCTATTAAATGAAACTAATTTTGAGAGGCAAATGATGGCAACATATCCTGGATCAATTCTTTCTGTCTTGAGGAGGTATTCCGTTGAATTTGATTATGATACATATTGTGTTTGCTTTTATAAATTACTTAGGCCAACACTGGGTCCAGGTTGTCCTTATAAATGAAAATTACAATATTTGATATATTTTATTGTGTTCCTTTTAATTTATGTTTGCAGACAGCTTTATCTGGTGAAACACTATATCATTTGTAAAGTTTGAATTAAGCAATATTAAATTTCATTTAATTCCAGTTCAGCACAAATTTTGCCTATATATACAAATCTCTGTGAACAAATTTAACACATTTTATTATTTAGAAACATAAACGTGTTTAAAAGTAGATATCCAGTTAAAAAGGCATACTTCCTTGAAATCACACAATATAGTAAAATTTCTTTTAACCAGTTAATATTTTCTCTTCAATTTGCATTCACGGAAAATATATTATCTTTGTTTACATACTAGGAAGTAGCAATTTAGCCACATAAAATAGTTAGCTACAATATGTTCAAAATAAAAAGAAATGCAGATTCAGAGATGAGATCATAATTGTTTTCTCTGTTTTATTTTTTTAAATACTTATTGATCAAGTTGCAGCACATTGTAACTGACCAGGTTTTACATTTTAGGGCTGAAACTTTAAGGAACCTGCTGGTGACTGTTTAGCACTAAGCAGAGTTCAGTATGCACATGCTCCCAGAGTTAAAATCTAACGTAGACCAATTGCAAAACAAACAAAAACCCTAACATCTTTTAATTTTTGAGTACTGTAATCACAGGCGTTCCCAAATTATTAGAATGCCTATACATTAACTGTTTTACTAGAATAATGATTTAGGCTAGCACAGTCATTTTGTCTAGAATTTGGTATAAACAGGTTATTTTTTTCTCTTTAGAAATTACTAAGCTCTGTTGGTGCCACAGCTGATCCTTCTTCGGTTCCAGAGGCTTCTTCTGGTGTTGGTGGCTCTTGACAGTGGTACTTCACTTTTAGTGGTTTGCCAGGGTACCAGACCAAGTGAATATGACAGGGAATGATTTCCTAGGAAATGAGTTATAAAATATTATAATCTGCAAAAACTTCTGGCAAAAACAATTCTACATACAATTTTGTATTTTACCTGCGTTGAAAATTCATGAAGTAGAACAGTATAATCAAAATCAATTGCATCATCATCAGTTTTCTAGAGGGGGGAAAAAAGAATTAGTGTAATAAATACAGTTATAGTCCCTTAGAATTTGGAAGGCTTATGTCATATACATTCTTGTTTTGGATGGGTGCCTTGAATCTTCTGCTGCTGTTTAGATTTTAGCCTCACTTTTTTTGGTAGTATCCTGCATCAAGATAAGAGGTCATGGATTCTTACTTTTGTTTTGACACTGAGTTTTATGAAAACCTGGTTGGACATCTTCCTATCACTTTTTCTGTCATATTTATGGCTCTTGATGGAGGCTGAGGTCTGTGGGGATAGGGTGAATATTTTAACAACCTTAGAGATCGAGATACAGTGGGAGGGTCCTTCGAAAAGTTTATGGAAAAACAGAATTACAAGATAATATGAATCTTTCCATGGACTTTTTGAAGTACACTTGTGCCTTGGATTGACTCGTGTTCCCCCAAAGTCCATGTGTTAGAAACTTAACCCCCACCTGACAGTGTTAAGAAGTTGGGAAATCCTATTGTTATCTTTGAAAGGGGAGGCCTTGAAGAGGTGATTAGATTGTGAGGAACATGCCTTCGTAAATGGATTAATAAGTTGATGGCTTAATGGTGGTCGTGGGCGTGGTTCTGAGGGCTTTCAAAGGAGAGGAGTGAGGTTAGTGTCTCTCTTTGCTACGCAATTCTCACCATGTGACATCCTGCACTGCTGTAGAGTCAACTCAACAGATGTGTTCCCTGGGCTTTGGATTTCCCAGCCTCTGAAACTATAAGCAATAAATATTGTTTCTTTATAAGTTACCCAGTTTCAGGTATTTCTGTTATAAGCAACAGAAATAGACTAATACACCTTGCATGTGCACCTCAAGCTGCTATGTTATCCCTGATATACCAGGCAATAAGAAAAGGGGAAGGGCATCTGGTAATCTAGAATGCCTACCATGGGCCAGGTTCTGTACTAGGCTGTTTATACATACTCCTGTAATTCTATCTTACAATAGCATGTATTATGAGACTGGTTTTACATGAGAGGTAACTTGAAGTTACAGCTAGTATGTGACAAATGGGGATTCAAACCCAGATCTACTGACTCCAACACCCACATTCTTCATATATGCTATATAAAGCTATATCACACTGTTTCTAAAACCAGCACAATGGATCTTTTTTGTAGACAGGCAGTTGTCCTTCCCCCTTTTATTCACCTGATTTCTATAAATTTTACTAGTGACCTGTAGTGTAAATGCTGGACATAGACCTATTCTCCCTTCCCATGCATACCAGACTTCCCCCAACCTCTCCCCGCTGGGAAACTATCCCTGGCCAAGGTAGTTACCCAAGGAAAGGCACTTCTCCTTTAAGACAAACATCTCCTTTAAAACAAATGGAAGACTGGAGGAAGCAGGAGCCCTGAGTAATGAATTAGCATGTAAATGAGTTAGCACACTAGTGTTAAACTATTCTGGTGCCAGGAGGGTAGCAAGTAGGTTAACTTAGCTACTCAGCCAGATCTCCCAAGTTCTGAGTTACATGAGCCAGTTGAGGGTCTACACATATGCATGCAAATGATTTACACCTCTACTTTGATCTGTTCACTATATAACTTGTATGTATCCTGTGATGGTGCAGATTTCCAGCTGATCAGCTGCCATCAGCACCTCCCATGAGTCTAATAAACTGATGTCTCTACCTATTGGCCCAGGTGAGTTCTTTGAACTAGGCAAACACTACATGAGTGCCCTGTAGGATCTGGGGCTCCCATAATACATGACCAAACCAATTTCCTGTTTTTCTTTTCATTTCCTTTTTTTTTTTTTTTTTTTTTTGGCAAGGGTGCTTATCTATTTACTAGTGAAAAATGGAAGACAGGAAATTTTTTTTTTAGTTTAATCTGGATTATAATTTTAGTCTCCTACCAGGTTTTCATTGAGACTACTAGAGAATATGAAAAAGGAAAAACAAAAAAATAAGCTTGATCTTAAGTTTTGTCTTCCCTTTGCCTACCTTGACGGAGATTTTACAAGCCATAAAATTTTCAGTAGGTGAGGAGGGGGCTAGCAGGAGAAGATACAAGAGAGGACCTGGATAAATCAGAAATTGGCTGCTTCTCTTATGATGTCTTCTTTGCATTAGATTTCTCTCTTTCCTGGCATTATACCCATGAATGTTCAAAGTACACTTCTGAGGTACAAGCTGCAAATCAGAAAAATCAGTATATCTTTCATAAGAGAACAGTTACTGGAGGTTCCAGTGGTCAGTCTGGCATTATTGGTTTTGGGAGTGTATTTAGTCTTGTTCAACCCTCATTTGGTAACTATCTTGAACTTGGGAGGAAATGGTTATCTATCCTAAGATATTCCACACCAGCAGCTGGCTGCTGTGCTGTGTGATTATTGTCTCAGACTTTTGTGCTGTCTGCACTATTTCCAAAGGCCTGACTATTTACCATGTATTTATATAATTAGAAAATTGGTTTTACTTATAAACTTGAAGCATCTTTTTCAGGACAGTGTCTTCTTACTCTGCTTTGTTTTTTCCTTTTTGTCTTTTTTACTGACCGGTAACGGGATCGCAACCCTCGGTGTCGCACCCGTACCAGGGACCGGCAATGGGATCGCAACCCTCAGTGTTGCGCCTGCACCACGCTCAGCCAGCAAGCGGGAACCGGTCTCCACATGGGATCCGAACCCTCGGCGGGAGCGCCGCCACGCTCCCAAGCGGCGCACTCTCCAGTGCGCCACTTGGCCGGCCCTTACTCTGCTTTTGAAAACAGCATTTCCAAGGGAAATCATGGCAGTCTCCAGATTTTAGGCAGAAAAAAAAAGGCAGGGCTTGAAACAAATGATGGAACTCCAACTTTACATGACAAACTATTCTGCTAAAAACACAAAGAAAGTGTTATCCATTTTTTAATACAAAACTTGGAATCATTATAATGTTTGGAAACCCTGTACCATTTGACTAAGACCTCCCTCATAAGGTTATTGAAATTTACCCTCACATTTCTGTTTTTATGGATTCTTCCTCCTCTAGGAGGAAGCACCCTTAAACCAAACCAAGAAGCATGGCTTATTAAAGAATGGCAGAAGACACTGTACATCCCAGCCTGGTGAAGTATTCCAGGATTGGACTGCTTTCACCTGTTGGGAAAACACAAAACTAGGGGCCGGCCCGGTGGCGCACTGGATAGTGCGCCGCTTGGGAAGCGCGGCGGTGCTCCCGCCCCCGGGCCCGCCCCCAGGTTTGTGTTTTCCCCACAGGGGAAAGCAGTCCAATCCTGGAATACTTCACCAGGCTGGGATG